GTCATATTGTTACTCCTTATTCTTCGTTCATCTCTTCAAATGTTGCACTGATTCTCGTTCTTGTTACATTGTGCAACAGGCATTGATGTTAACAAAAATGTCATAGTGACCATTTCTTCAGATAAAGGTCTCTGTGGTGGAATTAACTCAACATCTGTTAAGATAAGCAGGGCTTTGCGCAAGTTGAATTCAGGTAAATCTATGCGTCAATTTTATAATTGCCATCTAACTGCCATTGCGACTTCCATTGCCACTGCCACTGCCTCTGCATATACATGTAATGAATTAATATACTTCTTTTGCGACAGGTCCTGAAAAAGAAACAAAATATGTTATTCTTGGAGAAAAGGCAAAGGCTCAATTGGTACGTGACTCAAAGAAGGATATTGAACTTTGCATAACTGAGCTGCAGAAGAATCCTCTGAACTATACCCAGGTTAGTCTGCATTTTTACCTTTTAAAAAAACTCTGAGAATCTCTCTTTGGATGTGTTTTTTTCTCTGCATGTTCACCAGTGTGTTTTCCAGAATTGAAATGCTAATGCATTTGAAATTTGTTTATTTATTGGTTGAGGTTTTCTCAACTCTAGGTTTCTATAATTCTATTGCATTCTTTCCAAATGCAAGGTTCCTAAATTTATGCTTTTCCTGTCTGCTGCCTTCTACAACTTCCTTAAATTTTGGCATGAAGGTGATTCCTGGTGTATTCTGATACACCCTCGCATTGGTTGCCTTATTTAGGGTTTTGTGCAAGAAACATAATGGAAGTTAATGAAATTATATATCTGCACTTTTTTTTTCTGTCTCATTTTTAATATTGTTGCTTTTTCAGGTTTCTGTTCTTGCTGATGATATCTTAAAGAACGTGGAATTTGATGCTCTGAGGATTGTCTTTAACAAATTCCATTCAGTGGTCTCGTTTCTCCCAACAGTATCAACTGTATTGTCTCCTGAGGTAACGAAATGCTTTAGCTTGCTGGTTTATAATCCAGAGTCTCCATGCCGGGTATTAAGCTTACCTTTTGGTGCATGGGTTACGTCATATGGATACCGATATAGGTTGTTGAGAAAGAGGCTGAATCTGGGGGAAAGCTTGGTGAGCTAGATGGTTATGAGATTGAAGGTGGTGAAACAAAGGGCGAAATACTCCAAAATCTTGCCGAGTTTCAGTTTTCTTGTGTAAGTTCTATTTATGACTATTTCTTTTCCACGAAAGTCATTTGAATTCTCAGAATTTTTTTGAAAAAAATTCTGGATTGAAGATCAACTTCCTTAAGTTTAAGGGCATCCAGGTCAAATTTGAGGTCATAACATATTAATTGGTTTCTTGTACTGATGACAGTTGAAAATTACTGTTTGAATACAAGAGCAAAAAAGTTAAAATTTTTTGAGCTTTTTAGGCTCCTGATATTCAGCATATTAGCTGGTTTTCATCTAGCACATGCAGCAATGATTTCAAGGTGTTTACCAGATATATTTCTACGTTCCCCTAGGTCTTGTTCAATGCTGTGTTGGAGAATGCTTGCAGTGAGCAAGGAGCTAGGATGTCTGCTATGGATAGCTCAAGCAGAAATGCTGGAGATATGCTTGATCGTTTGACTCTTACTTACAATAGGTCCCTGCTCTTTCTCCTCCCTTTCTCTCATGCACAAAATTTAATATTCATTGATCGTGAAAAAGGGATATTGTGGTTAGATTATGATTATCGTGGTTAGACCACGTTAATTGGTTAATTTTCTTTCTGAAATTTTTATTGGCACTGTTAAACATAAAAGTAGAGTAAATTCTAAATCTTAATAGTTAATACTGACATGATATTTTGGATGACAGAACTCGTCAAGCCTCAATTACTACAGAGTTGATCGAGATTATATCAGGTGCATCAGCATTGGAGGGTTAATTTCTGAGAAATATACCCGTGTTTGTCTGACAGAGACAAAATAAATCTTTAGCAAAGACGCTTTTCAAAGTTTGAAGATGCTTAATTTTGCATTTTCTTTTTCTCTCGAGTTATCAATAATCCAACCCAATTTCAAAATCTGGTTTATGGGAGTTTAGATATGCATTTTCGATGATGAAAATTGGTTTCATTTTTTTGGGTCGGAGAACAATGTATGAATGTAGATTTGGTTGGAAATTTTTATGATGTTTGATCTTCCCATCGTGTGTCTCCTTGGTGTTGATTCGGCATCCAGTTTCTGTGTGCAAGTATATTTTGGTATTGAATTGGATTATTAGGAAAGCAGTGTCTCATAAAGGATTGACATTTTGAACCGCGGTAAATAAGAGACCAGCTTTGAGCCGTGATCCTGTTGTGTATTATACATCCAGTGCTTCCCCTGATCTTATTACTATAGGAAGTGATAAATATCATCAACAATCATTTTTATATTTGAGGGTTCTGAAATGTCCAGAATGGTGGCTTCATCATCTTTCCAAGTAAATTGCTGTAGTATCTATCAGTGATTTGCCTAATGTGATGTATATTGGATCATCTATAGATTTAAATATATATGCTTAACTAACCAATTCAATGTGAGATACATAGTTGGTAAACCTGACATTGATTTCTTGGTTGATATGTCCATTCTTTTTCTCTGATTGAACTGTAAATGATGGTGGTTTTTTAACTCGTATAATTAAAATATTCTGTAATCTCCAAAAACATTTTCTGAAAAATCCTATTGTGATGGTTGTGTTTTTCTTTTCTCTCGAAGAGAAAAAATAATAATTCTATTATAGAAACAGATATACAGTAAAATTGAGACATTAATATAACTATATGCATGTACTCAATATGTCAAATATATTAACGAGATTAACTCAATACAACTTGTAATACGAGTTTAAACGATCTTCTAATGTGTTAAAGTGAGTTTAATCTGTTCAGAGATTAATATTAATTTACGGGATTTTTTTAAAGTTATTTTTATTATGTGATTTAAATAAAATAAATAAATTATGACGTTCATATTACAAATAAAATAATTTAAATATAATTTTATAAATTTAAATATCAAGATTTTACTTCATAATTTAACAACTAAAAAGTACACAATAAAACTAAAAAGTCCAATCCAAAAAGTAGTAACCCACAAGCCCACACAACCCAACCCTTTTAAGAAACCCTAAACCATCCCATATAAAAAACTTATCTTCCTCCAATTTCAACTCAGCGGCAAACCCTAAACCTACACCTCCCACCTCTCACTTCTGACGGCAAAATGGGGCGAGTCATTCGTGCTCAGAGGAAGGGTGCGGGCTCTGTTTTCAAGTCCCACACTCACCACCGTAAGGGTCCTGCCCGCTTCCGTAGTCTTGATTTCGGCGAGCGCAATGGTTACTTGAAAGGTGTGGTGACGGAGATCGTGCACGATCCTGGCCGTGGCGCCCCTCTTGCTCGCATCACATTCCGTCACCCTTTCCGCTACAAGAAGCAGAAGGAGCTTTTCATCGCTGCAGAGGGTATGTACACGGGCCAGTTTGTCTACTGCGGTAAGAAGGCGAACCTCATGGTTGGAAATGTCCTCCCTCTCCGATCTATCCCAGAAGGTGCCGTTGTCTGCAATGTTGAGCACCATGTCGGTGATCGTGGCGTCCTTGCCAGAGCTTCTGGTGATTACGCTATTGTCATCAGTCACAACCCCGATAACGATACCACCAGGTTCATTCCCTGTTTTGAATCTAATTTTCTAGTTTTTTCAATATGTACCTTACTTGGAATGCTTTAGGGTTTTATAGCTTCTTTTATATCTGCTGGTCGCTTCTGCTTGGATTAGATGCATAAATTTTATATTTGGAGTGTAGCATAACTTTTTCTGGGAGATCCTTTTGACAGACAGATATGTTTAATTAGATGTTTAGTTGTAGAGGTGTATATGCTTAGTTTCTGCCATGGATAACAATACCTGATGAATCTAATTATTGCAGTTTTATTTTTTTTATGAAAATCTAATTGGACGAGGAAGTTGTAAAGACTAAAGATTGCTAATTTATTTGCTGATGCAAGTCTCTACGAGAAGCGGGCTTGGATGAAGTTGTAGAAATTAAAGCTTGCTAATTTATTTGCTAATGCAATTCTCTATGAGAAGTTGGCTAGGAGGAAGTTGTAGAAACTAATGATTGCTAATTTTTTTGCTAATGCAATTCTCTGTGAGAGGTGGGCTTTTGTCAAGTAAGGTTTGGGTTCAAGTCATCCAAACATATTACTCTGTTTTGGCAGGATCAAGCTTCCATCAGGTTCTAAGAAGATTGTTCCAAGTGGGTGCCGTGCTATGATCGGTCAGGTTGCTGGTGGTGGAAGGACTGAGAAGCCCCTTCTCAAGGCAGGTAATGCTTATCACAAGTTCAAGGTGAAGAGGAACTGCTGGCCTAAGGTCCGTGGTGTGGCAATGAACCCAGTTGAGCATCCTCATGGTGGAGGTAACCACCAGCATATTGGTCATGCCAGCACTGTTAGACGGGATGCTCCTCCTGGCCAGAAGGTCGGTCTTATTGCTGCAAGGAGGACTGGTCGTCTCAGAGGACAAGCTGCAGCTACTGCTGCCAAGGCAGACAAAGCTTAGAGAGTGTCATTGTTTGTTTTGCTTGCATTTTTTCGGTTTACTTTTTGTTAGATTTATTTCTAAGACGATTAATTGGCTACGCTGTAGAATTTTTGTTGAATTGTGAAGCTGCAGTTAAAATGAACTATCTTATGAGTTGGTTTGAAATATAGTTACAAGTTCTTTTGTGCTATTTGTTTGGGTATCAGTTTCTTGTGATTGGATTTGCGGGTTTTTGCTTCTATGGTTAGGGTGGTGTTTTGATTACGGATGAGCTGCAGAAGCCGAAGTTATAGATCACTAGTTCAGAAAATGAACGATTGGAGCCTGAAGATGGTGGCTCATCATCTAGGTTAATCTTTTGTTTTCTGATTAAAATTAACAATCAGCTTTTTGGGTGTTTATAATCAATAGGTTTTACTTGATGGTAACGTTTTACCATCTAGTGTTTGCATTGACTTAATATTGCAATAAGCTATTGGTCCAATCATCAGAATAGGGATGTTAATCATTCGGAAATCAGACTAGAGTAGATGTATAAGGGTGAGAGTCCGGATTGAAGGTCAGAGTGTTTTAATTTTTTTTCAGACTGGAGGTACTCTGGATTTGGTATGGTTTAGAATGGTTTTGGTAACATACTAAATATTTTTATCACAAAGGATTGGACCCAGTGATGTTCGGTGATCTCATCTAAACTGAATAGTCTTGTTTGGTCTAGTTTTGATCTGATCTGGATTCAATACTGTAAACTGGTGTACTTTTTCTGTTCATATTAGACAACACATTCTGTAGCTAGACTATCTGACCGGACCGAAAAATGCTCGCCATATGAAGTCTTAGCTGAAGCAGACCTAAAGCATCTATTGTCATTCTGATCTACTTATTCCTGAGTCGTAGAAAGCCAGCCTATGCAAGAGAAGCACATTCCTCCTCCAGCTGATCCGAAACTTGCCAGAAGAGGAGCTTGAGAGGTCAACTCCTGCAGCAAATCTGAAAGGCTACGCAGCTGAGCTCTGCCAACATAGGATTCAGAAGTAAAGACATTACTAGAAGAGGTTGGTCCACTTTTTAGAGGCATATAGCTGACTTGCAGTGTGAAAAACTTAAAATCCTGTGACAGTTCCCCACAATCGGTGAATTCTTTTGATGGATTTGCGTATGGAGATGGCTTAAAACAATGTTTACAATAAGTTACATTATGCATGCAATTGTTGATTCAGGAAAAAAAATACACTGTTTGCTGTTTCAAAAACTTTTAGCGGAGACTCCATTTATGGTATAAGTTTGTGCATTTTCCTAGCCTTAGATCACCCTAGTATTAATTGAATTTCTTGGGGATTTGTTTCCCTAGGAATTGCAGCTAAATGTGTTAGTTTATGACAATTGTTATTTTTTTTCTCTATAAAATATTATATATTCAAATCAAATATTTATTTTTATATAAGATTATAAATGCAAATGGAGTGATGAATTTTCATATATTTTCACTAAAAATCATATTAAAATTAATATGTAAACGCATCACCTGATAAATGAATTTCTATTTTGATCGTATTAGTCGCTTTTACTCTGAATAGGGAATTAGGGCCCTCATTTCCTATTGCCAAGTCTACCAAAGAGATGTTTACCAATCCAAGAGAAAACTAAACAAATAAGAAAGAAATATAATCAACTCTGCAGTATAAAACGATCACAAACACCAAAAATTTTGATTGTCAACTTCGATAACAAAATCTTAAACTTTGTCTAAAACTAAAACTATGCCAAAAAAACACCAGCTCTTCAAGGCAATAAGACAAGCATTCTGATCATTAACATTAAAATTGTAGAGACTCTGCATTGGCTCTACTCACTCCCAACCAGCAGCAGCAGGAGGGGCCTCATGGCTAATCTGTGGTGGAATGGCAGCATCCCATCCTTCTGCAGCCACTGGAACTGCAATGAAAATATCGCGCAAGTCATAAAAATCAGATTGCGGAGGAGAAAGAGAAAATGAGAACTTCTACAATTATTGGACACAAGCAATATTGGACAATAATTCTCATCCATTCAGAACATAACACCATAGCCGAACTAATAAAAACTGTACTATCTGTCTTGAAAAAGGTAAGGAAAGAAGTTATATTCTTAAATGGAATAAGCAAAGATTGGAAACAATTGCGGTGAACTGTTAAAGCAATCGTCTCAAAACAAGATCTTGTAAAATTCTTACCTTGTTCGCTCCAGTTGGTGCCAGGAACTGCTGCTATTGGTGGCTGAACAGCATCAGCTGTCCATTGGGTATCAGCAATTTGGCCACCCCATTGATCACCAATGGCAGGCAATCCATAGTCAGGAGCAGGAAGTCCAAAATCAGTCTGTGGAACAGCTTCCTCTTCTTCCTGTTGTTTGGCCTCTTCTGGCTCCCTGTAGAAGAATAGGTCCACCTGAAAATGAAATGAATGATGCAGTCAGAATCAATTTCAACCAGTTAAATAATATGCCATCCTCCAAATGAACAAATAGTATTTCCATAATTATTTACTTACCATTACATCCCATTTCTGACCAGGGCGAATTGTGCCACGCATCTGTAGCACCATTCTGGCTAACAACCAAAAGAGGCATCCTATAGAATGCTTCCCCTTGTTATTTGCCGGGATACCGATATCAACATAAGACATTGGGGAGTCAGTATCACAAAAAGCTATTGTTGGGATATTTCCCAGCGCTGCTTCCTTGATTGGCTGCAAGTAGTTAGCATAGAAGGCTGAATATTGGCACAAGGAATTGAACCCATAAGAAACCTACCATGTAGAAACAAAAAATACATTGTCGGAGTAATGAAAGCAGAATGTACCTGGTGATCAGTCCTTGGATCAGTTAGAATAAGAAGACGAGGCTCACTGAAGGAAGTCTGCAGCTGATTCGTGAAAGTACCAGGAGTATGACGCCCTGCAATAGCATGAGCCCCAGTGTATTGTGCAAACTTCAAAACAGCTCTCTGACCATACGGTCTAGCAGACTGGACGATGATGTCCTGTGGATTTTCAATAGCAACAATAACTCGTGCAGCAAGCATGAGTTTTTCCCAAGTCTTGCCCAAATTTATGATATATATACCTGAGCATAAACAGAAAATAGGCATGAGAAATTTTTCATGCAGATAACTAGATAAAGTTGCTCCATTACTGTAATGGACCAAAAGCTAACCAAGATATCTTCAGTAGCTTTTGTAGCCTACTGAAGCATCTCGTGCATAAAGAAAATTGACATTTATGATAATAAGTATTAATAGAATAAAACACGTATCATATCATCAGATAACCATTCAGCAAACATGCATGCTGGAAATAGGACAACACCATCTACTACAGTGAATAGTTTTGAGAGAAATCTAAAACCATACAAAACTACAGCTCATTGTTAGATACTAAAAGAGAACTTCGCCCTGATCTAAAACGTAAAGAACCTTTAAATATCCAAGAAGATAAAATATAGATGTGGCACCCGTAAGCATCAATAGCATGCCATATAATATTAATAGTTAAGTCCCATTTGACTACAAATGGCAACAAGTAAATGATTACCTCCAAACTCCAAGTTCCCTAAACTACAAAAAGGTGCATAATGCAATCCAATAATCAATCTTTGAAACACTTCATCCACAGCCAAATAAAAAAAGAAAACTACAATTTTCCAATACTAACCAAAACCATGAAGGAAAATATAAATATCATAAAGGCAAGCTGGACAACAACAACCATTTATTTAGTTAACTCTAACAGAGCCGTTAGCATATAAATGAAAGCAAAGAAAAACACTAGATTCACAAACCAGTGAATATATATACAAACACATAAATATACATTCTTATACACAACAGAACAAACCTTTTAAAAATAGACAGCAAACGCAAACTACAATATCTCTGGGTTAGTTCAACATCCTGATAGGCTAATACAGCACCAGATCAAAGAAGAAAAAAAAGCAGAACCCAGAAGAAAGTAGAAGTGTATATTGCCAGATAAAAGGAAACAAACGACAAGAATAGACCGCTAATGCAAGTTCCAGCATCCCTGTGTCGGTTTAACCTACTTACATATCACCATACAATCATAAATTCAAATCAATCAAATTAACTTCCAACAACCAAACAGGTCACCACAGTGCTTATCAAGCAAAGTGAATCTCAATCACGCCAAAAAGAAATCCAGGCAAAATAATTAAAGACAGAACCCAGAAACAAATACTCACTTAACGATACTTGCATGTATAGAGAGACATAAAATAAGAGATACGGGAAGAAACAGGGATACCGTCATTCCGGCGCTTGAAGACATATCGCTCCATCTGAAAATCACAGTTCTTAGTGCCCAGATGGACTTCAGCAGCCAACATCATTTGAATGTCGGCTTCCTTTTGCGAAAGCTGCCTTGCCGTCGCCGTAGTAGTCGCCGCCATGGTTGAGGCCTTCTCTTCTTAGCTGCAAACCCGAGGAAGAGAGTTTGGCGTCTGCTAGAGAAGGTTTGTGAAAGAGAGAAAAAGGAATATAATGTGATTTATAAAGGGTTCTCTGGGAAACCCTAGTTGCATAAAGTCCCTTTTATATTTATTATTACTCGAATGACCCCTTTTTCTTTCTTTATATTCATTTATGACCTAAAAATTTGATTTTTAACCTTTTAAAATTAATAGTATTTTCTATATTTTTTATTTTGGCTTTTTTAAACAATATTTCATAATATTTTTATTTAATTTTTTAAGTTAATATTAATGTATATATGATATTATTAAAAACTTAATAAAATATCATATCAATTTAATAAATTAATCTTTAAATTTTAAATAATAAGTCTAACAAATTAGTTTTGTTCATTTATATTATTTCTTAATTATATATATATATATGTATATATGTTTTCCACTTCCCAACCTAAATTTCTTAATAATATATGAATTTAAAATTTTAATTTCATGGTTTTGAAAAAATAATATTATTGTTAACAATGTTGATAATTTTTAATATTAATCATTCAATTATCACTTAAAATACATCATAATTATAATTATTAATTAATATATTACTCAATTAGATAATATGTTTAATAAAAAATTTATATAACTTACTAACTTGTATGACGTGATAATTTTTTTAATTTTTATTCTATTATACATAAAAAAATTTTATTATAATAAATAAAACAGTAAAATAAGAATTTTTAATAATTATTTTATTATTTAATATCATATATTTAAATAATAAATTATGCGATAGTCACAAATATATTTTTAAATTTATTAATATGTAATGCTCAATTTTTTTTAATCTCAATTTTATTTAAGAATATTAGAAGAAAAACTCGCTATAAAATAATAGCATATATAGATTTTGCAAACAACCCTTTCACCTTAGATTTCTTAGTTACATTATGAGATAAATTTTGTTGGTTTTAAAATTAAAAGGACTAAATTGAAACTTTTATTAAACAATTAGGTGTTATTCGTATAGTTTGAAAGTTCAGGATGAAATAGTAAAATAATAAACGTTGAAGTTCCAAAATTTATCTTCGTTTACTCATCAGCAACGGCGAGGACAATACTCCCGAGGGTTTACAATATTAACAGTAAGCGAGCGGGAAAGCTGCAAAACATGTCAAACTCAAAACCCCCAAAACCCTCAAACAATTCACAGGACATTGAGCTTCTGAAATCGGATGTTGCTTCTTTTGCCTCTTCTCTCGGATTCTCTTCTTCTCTCCCATCCTCAGGCTTTAACGATGCTGATTTTCGCAAAACCGGCCCCCTTAAACCTAACAAACGCAACGAATCTGCTAAGGAAACCGTCAATGGTGGCACCGACATTGAGCGGAAGACTGCTGATGCCCAGAAGAAAAAGTTCAGGAATTTCAAGAAAAAAAATGGCAAGCTGCAGTCCGAGCACTCAGCAGACCACACCCAAAAGCTGAATTCCAAGGATAATGGCATTTTCAGTAACCAAAAACCAAAACCCAAAGCTCCTGTTTTGTCACTTGATGACGATAAAACTTACAAGGGCAAGCGGTTTGATAAGTACAAGAATTTGCCGAAGCTGCCTTTGGTGAAGTCGAGTGCAATGAGCTCAGAGTGGTACAAGGATGCAGGTGAAATGGAGGAGAAGGTATTGGGAGGTGTAGAAAAGAACCGGAGAGTTGAAGTGAAAAACCTGGAGGAATGGAAGAGGATAGTGGAAAAGAAGAGGGAGTTGGGAGAGAGATTGATGTGGCAGTATACCCAGGATTTTGATTCAAGCAAAGGGAAGTCCGGGGACATGAAGATGGTGATTGCCGCACAGAAGGCGGGAACTGAGGCTGATAAAGTCACCGCATTTGAGATTATGGTGGGGGAGAATGCAATCGCCAATTTGAGGTCACTTGATGCTCTCTTGGGTACGTTTTTAGGGAGAGAAAAATGGAAGCTTTTATGCTTCCTCTCTTTCTCTCTCACCCCCCTCCTCCTACCTCTGATTGTGCCTCTTTTCTTTTAAAAGCATGGTCTGTAAGGTGTGAATATTGGGTTTGGTTTCTGTGCTTTTTTCTCTTTTCTTAAGCTTGTTTTTGCTTGATTTTTAGGAGACTTATAACTTTATGGTTTAGGGTTCTTGATACATTTAGTCATGTTGGTATATGTTTGATGGACATTTAAGTTTGTTTTTCTTGTTAATGCTGTGCATTAAGTGTATATTTGGACAAATGAACTACTTTTTTTGGAATTTATTTCAAAAGTCATACTTCCACTATGAATGGATATGAAAATTATATTGCAAGAGAACGGAAGTTTAACTCAAAATAAGGCGAATTAAGTATGTCGAATTTCCATCTTCTCATAGTGGAAGTATGTACACTAAATCCCATAAAATGTTCCAAATATACTCTAAAGCTTGTGGGTTTTGGATCATTTGCTGAATTTATGGTCCACACATGAGAGCCTAGAGTTTGTTCTGTTGCAGAATGTAGTGGAACTCATGTTTATATCAATGTCCATTAGTTATGGCTAATGGATTTTCCATTTGTTGACCTTCAACTTTTTTTTAATACTGAGAATTTTTATGTATGAATAAGTTCGTTCATAAGTTTGCTTTAATGAGAATATAAGTTAATTTCTTTATTGGGGGGAAATGATACCAATCATTTGTAAGTTATGGAACTTTTACCTGCTGAATCATTTACTTGTCATTTATTCCTGTTCTCATTGAGCATTATAGTTCCTTTGGTTGATGATAATGGACTTGTCTGTTGCAGGAATGGTAACCTCGAAAGTTGGAAAGCGCTATGCATTCAAGGGGTTTAAAGCATTGACTGAACTTTTCATTAAGTGAGCTCTATCTCTCTTGCTCTTCCATGTTAACCAGTTTAAGAAACTAGTGACTAGTTATGTTTACTAACTGGCCTAATGAAGCTTGGGGGGTTTCACACTTGAGGCATACACCAGAATATCACCCTCCATTTTTAGAAGACAAATTTCTTAAAAATATGTTTATAAATTGTTATTACTCAATTTTAAAGGTTTAATAGAATTGAATAGCAAGCTTTTCTGTGATTAAAAATCATCACAATTTCTTAGAAAGAGGATACTCAATTAGGATTGCAGTAAGGATGACGACTACATTTTGGGGTTGAATTTGATAGCTTTCCTACTTTGTTTCATTATCCCCCTCTCGAAAGTTCTATTTCTGTTTTCTTTTCAGTAACTTGCATGCTTTACTTATGCTTTTGTTTATTTACCAGATTATTACCTGATCGGAAGCTGAAGACACTTTTGCAGCGTCCAGTAAATAACCTTCCAGAAACAAAAGATGGTTATTCCCTTCTCCTTTTTTGGTACTGGGAGGAGTGCTTAAAGCAGAGGTATATAAACTGCTTTATCTTGCTTTCTGCAATCGATTGTTGGTGCAAAGTTGGGTTTCTTCTTAGTTACTCTCTTGACCAAATTCTCATCAACATGGTTCTTGAGGTCTTTTTTTTCCTTAAAAGAAAAGATAAGACTAACTTGTTTAGAAAAAAATGGGCCTTGAAATTTTCACCATGTTACAAAAGTAGATCTGCCAACCATAATTCTATTAATACTTAATAAACCATCACTCCTTGATATTTCAGATCGGCATTCCATATTAAGGTCTATTTTTCTTCTTGATAGTATTGTTTAAGGTCCACTTAAGTGAGCTTACAAGTTATTTTGGGAGTTATGAATGATCTCATCAGGTATGACCTTTTTGTTTTTGCACTCGAAGAGGCATCAAGGGATATGCTACCTCAACTAAAAGACAAGGCACTAAAGGTTTGTCTTCTAGATAATTCTTTAGTATATGATTATTACTAGACTCAACAAATTCTTTTAGGTGTATGTTGAAACGCTATATTTGCAGTCTTCTGCTGTTATAATTTTTGGATAAGATGTGTGGCTGATGTTTAGATATTTTGTATATTATGTGAATCATCAGAACTTGTTAGTTTGTAAGCAATCGAACCCTTTTCATCTCTATCTTGTAAGTACCATAGAGGCCTCAAATGGTTTCGTCCATAAGGATAGTTGGAATTTGGTATATAAGGTAATATGCATAAGGCAATCTAAGACGAGGATGGTCATTGGTGAAGTACTGAGTGTATCTTGATTGTGCAGTTAAAAAGCTCAGAACATCAGGCTATAGGGGATATGAAGAATTGAAAGAGTTTAGTGCTAGAGGTAAAAAAAGGGCTTCCTTCCAAAAGTTGTTTATGGAGGTAGCTTCTATATCATTCACAAAGATTTTTCGGCAAGCCGTGTAATATAAATCTGAGTCCAAAAATATTTTTTGACCCCTAATGCTATACTATGTTGGACAACAATAAAAAGTGGGCATACTTTGAGAAATAGTACATAACAATTAGTAGTACCAACTTGCAATAGGAGACAAGCAGACGATTAATAAAGTCCATCAAAAATGTGGTTTGGCTTCAATGCCTAGTTCATATGGTCCAGAGTCTGGATGCTCCTCCTAGGGTTGCTCTTTTGCGTGCGAGGTGAGGCATGAATGTATTTTGACAATTGACAAACTGATGAGGAGGGGAAGAATTTTGGTGAACAACTGTTTTCTCTACAAAAGGGAGGCATAATGTTGTAACCATATTATGCTTTGGTGCCTGTTTGTGCATAAATTATGGACAATGGCCTACAGGATTATTGGGGATTACCTAAGCTATAGAAGTTTAGATATGGACCTGGAAAGGTATTAGCAATGGGAGGAAACAAGTGGATCTCATCCCTCTTGCCATTTTATGGGTTGTGTGGAAGAAGAGAAAGAAAAGAGCTTTTGAGGGGGTGGAAGAGGATTTTGTTAGAGTTAGAGACTGATGGTTCTAGATATTGAACTTTTTGGTGATGGGACATTTATTCTTTCAGTTGAGGAGTTTGGAGATTTATTAACATACCAACTGACTTGTAAATGTACATGGGTGACACTCTTTTGGTGCTGGTGAATTAATGATACACTATACTTTTTATTTTTAAAGAAAGGTCCAAAGTCCCAGATGTGGTCATGGTTCTATTCACATGATCGTAGCTGCATGCTTGACTGATTTCCATATTTTATGACCTATGATGAATTATGTTGAGGGCTCGTTGGAGAGACCCTTTGATATCTAGGTTAGGTACTTTAATTTGGAAGAGATTGTCTGGAATTTAATTGAAGAGGGTACATATAAAGTGAAGGCATCAAGCTTTGGCTTCGTAAATTCTAGGATCTGATATGAATTATCTATTCCTTGGTCTATAAGTAAGTTTAGATACCTAGAACTCCTAGCATGGGAAGGCATCAGCGGCAAGAGGAAAATGTTAAGACGAATCCCACTCACCATTATGTGAGTTCTCTGAAAGGAAAGAAACAATCGCACTTTTGAAAGAATAGAAGTAGATTTTAACAAAATCATTGATAGTTGGTTTCACTATTTTGGTTCCATTATATTGGGACATAACATCGACTATTTCGATGATCTTGGTTTTCTTGTCAATAGTTTAGTCGACTTGTAAATACATTGTCAATGGATTGTGTCCCCTTAGCATTATTACATCAATACAACTCCACATTTTTATTTCAAAAAAAAAAAATAGATACGTAGAACTGTATTGCTCTTGCTTATTAAGATAATGTAAATGAACTTATAATAAATAAAAAATTTAAAAGTCATCTGAGCATAAGAGCTAACTGGGTTGGATAGGACCATGCAGAAATTCTCCTTGCTGATTCATTGGTCCCTTGTTTGTACACCTGGCCACTAAATGAGTGACCAACAATGGTTGTAACACCATTCCTCCTCTCTCTCTCTTCTTGCCTAAAGCTCACATGATGTATAATTTCAAATACATCAGTGCAGATTGCAAATGCAATGTTTAATTTCTTTTAGAATTGTAAGTCTGCAACTAGCATTGTTTTCTTTGATAAGGTTTTCATTTTTTTTTTAGAGATAAAAGTGAGTAATAATACCAAAAAGAACGTCAAGGGGGTGAACCCATGTACAAAAGGTAGTATTTGCAGATCAGTAAATATATCTACAATGTATCCAAGATGATCAAAAGAGTTATGGTTGCGACCAAGGATGATGGAGCCAAAATAGTGAAGTCATCTATCCTTAATAATGACAAAATTTGTTTTCTTTGATAAGGTTATCGCAACAATATGTTTTTCTGCGTGCAACCCCCTTTCTCTTCCTCCATCTTGGCTAACGATCAAATTTGATACATGGTTAGATGTTTGGATCAGTAGAAATATACAACCTTGGGAAGGAATTATTACGAAGCACAAATGTCACAAATTTAGTCCTCTATCTATTATTTGGGTCATTTGTAATGAAAGGAACAAAAGAGTTTTTGAAGATAGGTATACTAATTTTGATACTGTCAAGGATAGATGGCGACGTTTTTTTGGTTCTACTATTGTTGGCCACAATTTAGATAGTTTAGAGGATTTGGGATCTATTGTTGATATTATTACGGATCTGTAAATTATTCTCTCTCTTTTTACATGGGCTGCGCCCCCTTGGCGCTCTACCTTTAATATATTTTCTCCTACTTTTATCTATAAAAAAAAAAGAAATATACAACCTTGGATATATGATTATCTTTGTGTTACTATACGTATAAATCAAATACCAATTTATGAATGTGGTCTGATCACTCATTTGGTTTCTATGGTTTGGACATGTATATCTCTATATCTTGACAATTTATATGATGTTATATGGTCAGAGCATTTGATTCTCAATTAATTTTACTTTCAGAGCCTGTACGTTTTACTGGCGAGCAAATCAGAGCAAGAGCGAAGATTACTCACAGCACTAGTGAACAAGGTGAATCACATTGAATCTTGTCTCTTTATGAAATTATTGTATGTAAGATTATTATGTTTGTTGATACTATTTATTTGAAATGGCTAAGGCTCTTTGAGTTCAGTTTCTCATGTTCTAATTACATACAGCTGGGAGATCCTCAAAATAAAAGTGCATCGAATGCTGACTTTTACCTATCAAATCTTTTATCTGATCACCCAAATATGAAAGTATGATTATTTTCTTAAAATTGACTATCATTCTACTCTCCCTTAATATGCAAGTATATAATATGTTTGCAGGTCCTATCCTCTAATTGTATTAATGGCTTCCTTTTTGCAGGCTGTGGTGATTGAGGAAGTGGATACTTTTCTTTTTCGACCTCATTTGGGCTTACGAGCGAAATATCATGCTGTATATCTCCTTATTTGACTGCATATATTTTGAATCTTTAGCAACTGATATTTATTGCAATCTTGTGCTTTTTTTTATATATATACACTTTTAATAGATAGTTACTTATTCCTCCATATGTTGTCACAAGCCTAAGTTGATTATGAAGCTTGGGGATGCATTGGCTATTGTCTTGCATCTTACTTTTGCATTATTAGGTTCTTTTGCTGTTTGTGTTCAAGTCATCTTGTTTAGGGGAAGGGCTTGTCTACTTTGCCGAAGTAATTTCAGTTGTGACATGTGTGATCATGTTCTGCGACACTATAAACCATGTGGATTTGAATGGAGAAGAAAGGAAAAGAAAAGAATAAAGGGAATTTTTTAAGGAGAGCAAATGCAAAATGTTTTCCCTGTTTGGATAACCAAAGATTTAGAAGATAAACAAAATATTGTTGTAATATTTTATTTTGTTTTGATATGTAAAAGAAATAATTCATTATAAGAAAATCTTTAATAATGGACTCTATTTATAGAAGAGCCAAATATGATTTTACCCTTGTGGTTTATCTAGGCCCGTTTATTAAAAAAATGTTTGTGTAAGCCCATGTCTCTTTTTTTTTGTTACAATTTCATGTTTAGAGTCTTTTCTTATTATTACATAAAATGGATAGTCTTTCAGAGACATGTCTGTAGTTCTAAACACAAACATATAGATTTTCAAAGCTAAACAAATAAAAGTTAAAGAAAATGAAAAAAAGAAGATATCAATTAATGAATTTATTAGGAATAACAAAAAATAGAGAGTTTGCGTTTAGTAAGGTCAAGCTGCAGGGAGTGAAATTATAATTCTCCCGAGCTATACATTTAAGGTGGAAATAGAAAATTTCCAATTTAGGATGAGTCCTTTTTCTACTCTTATTCTCGCAGTTTGGGAATGGAAAAAATAGGTTTTTAAGGTGTTATAATAATTATTTTTTTATCCAAACAGGGGAAAGAATGGTCTGTTTCATTATGTAATTTTCTTTTTCCTCACTTCACTCTCTATAAACAAGGTGTTAGTTTCCCATATCAGTATCCCACATTCTAACTCAGGTTTAAAAGTTTCTCTCACATTATCCTTGCCCTTTTTGTATGTATAAATCCTGTCCATATTGGTATCTGTTAAAATTATGTGGACTACTGGATTATATCTCTCTTGCTTCAATCTTCACCAAAGCAAGGTTCAACTTGTGCTAAAATATAAACTGCCTTCAGTTTAACCTGAAGAATATCTCTTTAAAGATAATGAGCTGTATTGTTCTCTCTTAATACTATGCAGGTTAACTTTTTGAGCCAGATTCGTTTGAGTCACAGAGGAGATGGACCAAAGGTGGCAAAACGATTGATAGATGTGTATTTTGCATTGTTCAAGGTACCAATGCCATTCAGTTTCTGACTGGTATTAATTTTTATGTTAGCAACTCCTCTTGCTTCTGAATTAAATTTACCTCTATTCACATGGTTTAATCGTTGGACTAAATGGAGTTATTTCTGACCACATAAGATAGTTGGAGCAACAATAATACTTAAACATCCTATGCTTTCAGGTACTGATTACTGAGGCAGGTGCTGACCAGCTGGTGGATAAAAGTGAAGAAGTGGAGGCTAGAAAATCTTACGGGTCTTCTAAGAAAAACATACGAAAGAGTTCGACAGAGTCTCATGTTGAATTGGATTCTAGACTTCTATCAGCTCTCTTAACAGTACGTGCAAATATTCTTTCTTCCTATATGTTAGTTACTGAAATCACAATGTTCCACTCTTCTTATTTCTTATTGTTTTAGCTATAGAATAATGTACCTTTGGAAAGTTTCCCTCAAAATTTTGGAAGTTAATTATCGTCTATCCTTTTTGCCATATCCGCAGGGAGTTAATAGAGCATTTCCATATGTTTCAAGCAATGAGGCTGATGATGTAATTGAGGTGCATACACCAATGCTCTTTCAACTGGTAATCTCTAAGACTTAAGCTTGTTTGTTTTCTGTGAGAACCAAAAAGAGAAGCACAGCATGCACGGTCACAGCTATTTTCAAGGTCCTTCGATGTTTGATAGACCCTCAATTTTGCAGGTTCATTCGAAGAATTTTAATGTGGGAGTTCAAGCATTAATGCTTCTTCACAAAATCTCATCCAAGAATCAGATTGTTAGTGATAGATTTTACCGTGCATTATACTCAAAACTCCTACTCCCTTCTGTAATGACTTCTTCCAAGGCAAGTCAAGTTATATTTACTTTTTTTTATCCAATATGATAATGTATGTTTTATCATTTGTTTCTCTTTTTTTTTTTTTGAATATTTAATCGATAATTACACCATAGCATGGTGCTTTTGGTGAATATTATTATGCAACATTGTTGCATCACACAAAAAAAGAGGACCTACAGCCAGTTATTCAAAATAAGTTTGCAGGAAAAAAATATATGCATGCGACCCATGGAAGCAACAAAGTGAAGGAGTTGAAATCTATAGTTAATTAGGAAGCTGGTTTATTTAAGTAACTAGTAAGAGTTATAATTCTTTAAGAATTGATATTAAGTATTTAGATTTAGGTATAGATTAGGAAATAAAGCTGGGACTATGATTATTAGAGTTATAATTAGATTAAATTAGGAATTAGAATCAAACTATGACAATTATTCCTAGTATTCTAATAGGGATCTAATTCTATCCGCTTGCCTATAAATATGCCTATTATCATAACAAAATTACCAAGCTATTAATTTAAGAGTTTCTTTCTAAATGATGGAAGGTTCTCTTGGACGAGCCTCACCATAGGCCGGCAGAAAACCAGGAAGCAAGCAACATGCTTGCTCAGGAGCTCACACTAGCCGCTCCTGTGACCAGATCCAGAGCCCGAGACTCTGACAAACATAGAGTAAATACGGAAAAAGAGAGAACAAAAAGAGACTTTACGTTGTTCAACAATGTGCATAATTCACTGGTGCATGAAGTACTAGCATACGAATTAGTTTTCCTCTTTATTACTTAAAGTATAGTTATTAAGTAGACAATCTAAAGTTACAAGTATAGTTCCCATGATCAAAAAATGTGCCCTGGCCAAGATTATGTTACCTTTCTGTAGGTGCATTGCAGAAAACTCCTTTTACAAAAGCTTTTCTGAAAATATGAGGCACCACTCAACAAGTGTATATTCCACTTCCAAGATATGATTGAATATAATATCTTTTCATAAAATGCAATCAGACATTTGTGTGGATTTTTTAGAACTTTTGGTGGGTGGAAATGTGGACATTGGGAATTAAGTTAGTGATAACATGTATGTTTCAATAGAGTTTGGTGCAGTTAGGTGTGTTTATTTATTTGAGTTGAGTATCAAGTTTGGAGAAGGTTATTGGAGCTAATCCCATTTTGTTGTATCATTTAAGACCAGTTTACTTTATTTGAGTTGAAGTATCAGATTTGGAGAGGCTTATTAGAACTAATCCCATTTCGTTCTACTTATTCTTTATTCTTCCAGGAAAAAGGACTACTTGGGTAGTTTCATTCCTTTTTTGGTGTTAAATTATCTGCAGCTGTTTGAATAAAGAAAAACTGTAACTGTCCATTTCTTTGTTATCATTCTTTATAATCGGTCAAGAATTTTGGTGATTCTAGTTGGAATCCCTCGAACTATTTTTTCGCCCTAGGAAGACTTTTAAGTTTTCAGGGGTATTACCAAGTACACTGTTTGTTACCTGTCACCTTCTTGATGAAAGAAGAAATTGCACGGTGCAAGACTTTTTTAGCACCTTGGCTTCTGAATTCTCTTTCTTCATTGACCTTCCAATAATGTTGCCTATAAGTCCTTATTTACCAACATTGATTCCAATATGTGATGAGAAAATATTTTAAATGCTATCTTGTATGCCTTTTCTCCGTTAAGATTAACAAACTATTTTTTTTAATGATGCTTTACAGGCAGAAATGTTCGTTGGACTTCTTCTCAGAGCCATGAAAAGTGATGT